CCTGTCCCCTCACACACATAATGAAGACATAGCTCAGTGGCAGAGTGTACTTGCCTTGGTATACATGAGGCCCAAGGTCCAATTCTTAGTCTGCCTCTCTCTCTGTCCCCTTTCCTGCACACATGCGCGTGCGCACACACGCATGCACACACACACATCATTATGTCGTGTTAACTAAGTATTTTTAGACTTATTGATTTTTGTCTATATGTATAAATGTTTTGTCTGCATGTATGTATGTGCCTGTGACCTGTGGAGGTCAGAAGAGAGTATCAGACGCCCTGGAACTGGAGTTATGGATAACTGTGAGCCACCATGTGGATGCTAGGAACTGAACCTGGGTCTTCTGCAAAAGCAACGAGTGCTCTTAACCACTGAGCCATCTCCCCAGGCCATGAAGTTAACTTGTGTATGTGTATGGGCGTTTTGCCTTCATTTATCGGCACCACTTGTGTGCTTGGTGCACCCAGAAGCCAGAAGAGGGTGTTGGGTCCTCTGAAACTGGAGTTACAGATGGTTGTGAGCCTCCATGTGAGTGCTGAGAATTGAACCCAGGTCCCTTGGAAGGACAACTGGCACTCTTAACCACTGAACCATCTCTCCAGTTCCCATGAAGCTAATTTAAAAAAAAACTTGCATATTAAGAAACTTCACAAGATGCTTGAGGTCACAGGGAAGACAATGGCAGTGATGGTGAGGGGATATCCGGCCGTCACTCTCGGCCTCCCTCACTGCCCTTCCACTGTCTGTCAAATGCGACTAAAATCTGGCTGTTCCTGTTTGTTTGGATACCAAGACCTAACAAAGAATGGCCAAGTGAGGAGGTGGATACCCGGTTACCTAAGCACCTTGGTGGCTGAGTACAGTCATGTGACTTTTCCCTCTGTTTCAGGGTCCCATTTTCTCTGCATAACCTGGATGTTTTGTGGAAGCCCTTGTCCAGGTCCTAGCCATCAGCCTAGGACTCTAGGAATGTGCTTTTGAAAGTATCTCTCCTGTAATCAGCCTCCCTTTCCCTCCTGTAAGCCAAATCCTGGGCAAACTACTTCCAGCAGAGCTGGTCCAGCCTGCTATGTCGGCGTGACTACCAAAGCAGAGGGGTGGGCATCCGTAATTTCCCATCTCCTTCTCTGCGGCATTTCCCAATTTCATTTTATTTTCCTTTTGTTGTAGTACTGGGGGTACTAGAAATGGAACTTGGGGTCTTGCTTCTGTTGGCCAAGTGCTTTATCACTGAGCTATACCCCAGTCCTCTGTTTATGTTTTGTTTTGAGGCAGGGTCTCCCTAAGTTACACACCGACCTTGAATTCACTTTGTAGCTCAGCGGGGCCTTCATTTTCCACCTTCCCACCTCAGCCTTGGATAGCAAGCCTGTGCTACGAGGCCTGCTTTTCTTACTTATAATGTTTCCTAACGTCACTGTCCTCTCCCACTTCTGCGTGCCCCCTCACATCCTCTCAGCTCTTCCCTGATCGTTTTGATTCTTGTCACCGGGTCCGCAGGGAAGACCTTCTCCAAGGACCCCATAGGAACACACCTGTTTGACACAGGCCCCTTCCCCAGCTAGTTCAGTCACATGACAGGAGGGAAAGAAGCCGTCAATGCCAACGGCAGCCTTTCTGCGGCTTTGAGAGTGTCTGTGATCCTCAAGTTTTGCAAGGAGGAATTAAAACAGCTGTGTGAGAGAAAGTTGGGGGGTTGTTAAAAAAGAAAGAAAGAAAAGAAGAAAAACAACTTACCTCTGAAATCCTGAGTTCAAAGAGTCGCCTTCAGTTCGGCACTGAACACACAAAGGGCCCCGCTCTTGCCTGGGGAGCTGGGAGCTGAACACGATTTCTTCTTTATTTCCTCTGAACAGACATCTTTGGGGATATTTAAACTTTCTGGGCCAAACTGCTGCTTCGAACCAGAATGTGCTAGGTAAAGGGAGATTGTCACTTTGTCCTTGCTGGAGCCATGCAGCTGGTTCATCATGCAGAGCCTCCAGGATGCTGAATGCTCCCCTTCAAGCTGACTCTGGAGAGAGAAGGGTGGATCTCTGAGTTGAGGCTGAGTAGATGAGGGTTTGGATTTAGAGTTGATGTTACAAGGATTAAGGGTTAGGGGAGGGTGAGTATTCTGTGAGTAGGAAGGACAGAAATGGGGGAGTGGATTGTGGATGAATAGTATTCGAACCCCCAACACTTCAGAAAACATTATGTTGAAGTCTTAATAGCCAGTTTTTCAGAATGTGACATTTTCTGAAAACAGATTTTTTTTTTAAGGTAATCTTGTTAAACTGAGGTCCTAAGAGCGGATCGCTAACCAATTTGAAGATGTCTTCATAGAAAGGGAAAATGGGGCCAGTGACGCGGCTCAGGGGGTGAAGGAGCTCACTGCACAAGCCTGACACCTGAGTATGACTCCCTAAGCCCACATAAAAAGGGAGAACCACTCCTCAAAGCTGTCCTCGGACCTTCACATCCGCGCGCGCGCGCGCGCGCGCGCGCACACACACACACACACACACACTAAATAAATGAAAAGTTTAAAATGAAAAGCGTGATTAAAAATAAACAAATAGGACAAGTCTGGACAAGGATGGCGTCCCCAGCTGAGTCTGCCTGGTGAACTAGGCCTGAGCCACTTCTAGAAGCCTCTGGGGCTAGAAACCCAGCAGACTCAAGCCTGCCTCTCGTATGTATTCATGAGCTGGAGCACACGCTGTGGAGAGGGGTTCTCATACCCTTCTCCGGATGGTCGCAAGGCTTTCGATTTTGTCACAAATGGGGTCCCTTCCTCAGCAAGCAGGCGCCAGCAGGGGTTCTCCTCATCCAGGTAATTCTGATACCACAAGGAGGTCGTGGAAGATCTCAAGGGTTGAGCGCCTGCCTGTCCCTATACTGCCACTTCCCCTAAGACTGAGTGTCTGTGCTCGTGAGCCTGTGCGTCTGACGGTAGGCTGAGGAAAATGTTTACTAACCTTTACTAGTTTTTCTGTTTGTTTCTGTGGTGCTGAGGGTGGAACCCAGGGCTCCAGCACAGAGTTATCCTTCCCCTTCAGCCTTTGAAGGGATCTACAAAGGACACACATAAAGAAACAGATGCTTAGAGTGAGGTATGGGCAAAGAAGGGGCATGAGGCTGTGAAGCTCCCTAGCTCCTCTCTGGGTGCCACCACCCAGGTGTTCCCGTGCTCGGCTGACCAGAAATTCCTTAACATAGTTCTCTCTCTCTCTCTCTCTCTCTCTCTCTCTCTCTCTCAACTGAGATAACTATCTCAAGTAGCCCAGGTCGTCCTCCAGCTAGCTACATAGGATGGATGACCTTGAACTCCAGTTTTCCTGTCCCCACCTCCTTCCTGAGTGTTGCGATTATTGTCCTGCACCACTATACAGGGTTTATGTAGTGCTGGAAACTGAACCCAGGGTTTTGTGAACGCTAGCTAGGCAAGCGCTCTACCAGCTGAGCCATCGCTTCCAACTCCTTGTTCTAAGTTTATGTGGAGGTTTCATTGCGGGCTTGATTGAAGCCCCAGTGACCCAGCATGTAGAAAATATGACTCGACAAAGAGGCTTTTCTGCTGTCCGCAGCCAGAGAGGGTCCCAGTGAGGTTTCAGCTCACATCTTCCTGGACCCTCCCCATCCCCTCTCCAATACGGGACCCTTCTCAAACACAGATGAGATGAGGTATCTCAAAGAGTTTTGGATGCACAACCCCCAGGCAGAGGTGGGGGAGGCCGGAGTTGAATGGCCTGCCCCGGAAGGGACTTTGAAACCGGGGCCAAGGAGAGAAAGCGACCAGTGTATGTCAAGATATCACAGAGGCTGTACCCGTGTGCAGTGCAGCATGGATGTGAGGGAAGGAGAAAATGTAACATTCACTTCGCGTGCCAGCGCCGGGGACTTTGTCACTGCGGGGCTCCCGTAGTCACTGTCGCAGACTGATCTGTGAAGGGGACAACGGTGTTCTTTAGTTGTCACTGTTGAATCTTTTTTTCTATAACCCAGGGTGGCCTGTAACTCCCCGGTCTGAGTTGGCCTTGAACTCGTGAACCTTCTGCCTCCATTTCAAGAATGCTGGGAGTACAGATGTGTGCCGTCACAACTGGCTCTCTTTAGCTCCTAGCATTACAGGTTAATGTGGTCCAGAGATCTGGGTGATGGTGTAGCCTGCTCATTCTGATCTGAGTCAGGGTGCCGAGAGCCTGCTGGTACCCTGCCAGAGATCCCCACGGCTTCACCAGGGAGAACTCTCTAGAAGGTGCTTGTGAGGGCGGGGCATCCGTTACTGCAGTACGCAGCTGCCAGCTGATGTAGGGTGATCTGAACTCGTTTGGGGTGGTGGAGGCAGCGCTGGGGAGGGAAACTTGGTCCAACAGTGGGTGACAGCTGGGGGCAGGGGAACGTCCCCATCACCCCAGATAAGAACTACTGGCTGGGGGCTGGAGAGATGGCTCAGTGGTTAAGAGCATCGCCTGCTCTTCCAAAGGTCCTGAGTTCAATTCCCAGCAACCACATGGTGGCTCACAACCATCTGTAATGAGGTCTGGTGCCCTCTTCTGGCCTGGAGACATACACGCAAAACAGAATATTGTATACATAATAAATAAATAAATATTTAAAAAAAAAAAGAACTACTGGCTATGCTCTCTCTCTTTGGGGCTCACATCCCCCTCCTGTTTGTGTTTCAGGCCCCTTGGTGCCCCGCATCCCACCTGGCACTGGATCTTTGCCTGTGGGCTCAACCTGCTGATACCCGGGGCTTGTAAAAACAAACATTTTCAAGCTTTAGATAAATGATTTGATTTTATACTTAATCGTATTGTAAACATTCAACTTCAAGGCCTCCAGGTAAGGCTTGTAGAAAACTTTCTACGTCCAGCTCTGACTCGGGTAAGCAGGAACAGCCCTCCCCGCTACAGCCTCCTTGGCACACACAACTCTGGGCCTGTGCGAACAAAAGCAGCCGGGCCTGACCTGAAACAGCTGCCAGGAGAAGGCACTGGGTCAGAGGTAGCATGTGGGGCACCACCACGGACCCGGGTCTGTGAACACGTTTGACGGACAGACGAAGAAGAGCTTAATCTAAAGCCCCATGAGCAGCAAAGGCCAGGGCAGTCAAGTGTTTAGGGTGAAAATAGACTCGACACGCGCAGAGGCGAGGGTGTAGCTCAGCTGAGAGAGAGTGCCGGACACACATGAGGCCCCAAGTTTCCTCCTCAGCACCTCAGAAACCAGAAACACTCGTTGTCCCAGCACAGGGAGGCAGAGGCATGAGGAGCAGAAATTCAAGTCCATTCTCCCTTACGGCAAAAGTTCAAGGCCAGCTTGGACTCCAAGGGGGCCTGTCTCAAAAACAAAACAAAAATAATAGCAACAAAAGACCTAAGCATGCCTCTTGTGCCGGTTCTCAACACGCCTTTCCCGAGTTTGCTGGGACCTGGTTGTGCTTCAGAAAGCAGACCATCAAAAGCCCTGCCGGCTGGCTGGCACCTAGAGCCGGCACCTAGCTCTCCTGGCCCTGCCTTCTGGTATCACAGCTGGCAGTGAGGTTCTGAGAAGCAGCTGCCCAGGTGACCACAACCAGCACAACTAGTGATTATCAGCCACGTGGCATCCAGGGACAGAGGGCCTGGATTTGATCTCACATCCCAGAGGATGTTCTAAGGCGTAAGCAGCTGATGGCAGCATCTCACTTGAGGGCAGTTAGAGGCTCCCCCAAGGCCACACCTTAAGGTTTACCAAAGTTTAGCAGACACACAGATGAGGGCCCAGGCCTCTGCCACCACTGACTGTTGCTCTAACATAGCTGCCTGCTGATGCTATGGTGACATTGCTCCTTTCCGGGCCATCACAGCCACTTCCCCCTCTTACGTCTTTCATTTATCTTTTTTCTTTTCTTGTACTTTTATTTTTCACTATATAGCCCAGACTAACCTCAAACTTACATCCTCCTTTCTCAGTTCCCAACTGTTGGAATAATAGGCACACACCCACCAGTCCCAAAAGTTGGTTCTTTTCCTCATATAATTTTTCTGATTTAATTATAGGAGAATCCTTGTGCAGGTGTTAATGCATGTCGTTTTAGTCTCTCTCAGAAGCAAGCTATTTTCCCTCACGTGTATGTGGTATTTGTGTGTATCCATGTTTTTTTTTTCATGTGTGAGCACAGGCACATGTGCACATGTGTGCATGTGGAGGCTCAAGGTGGATGCTGAGAGCCGTCCTCCATTGCTTCTCTGAGGGAGGGTCTCCCCTTTCCTCAGTGGCAGGCAGTCTCAAGGTGGATGCTGAGAGCCGTCCTCCATTGCTTCTCTGAGGGAGGGTCTCCCCTTTCCTCAGTGGCAGGCAGTCTCTTGCTGCATCTGTAGACTGCCGATTCCAGTAAGTCTAGTTAGCCAGCTTGCTCTGGGATCTCCTGTCTCTGCCTCTCCCAGACTGGAATTATAGACAGCAGTCACACCTGATTGGCTTATAGGGTGAGGGGAATCCGAACGCTGGTCCCCATGCTTGCATGACAAATGATTGATCTCCTGAGCCACCTCTCCAGTCCAAGAATCTTATTATTTTTAAGTGATTTTTTTTAAAAAAAATAGATTTGTTGAATTTATGTGTGTGAGTGTTTTAAGGCATGTTCACCCAGTGTGTGCCTGGTGCCTGCACACGTCAGAAGAGGGTGTCAAATCCCCTGGAACTGGAGGTACAGATGGCTGTGAATCTCCAAGTGGGTGCTGGGAACCACACTGCAAGAGCCCCAAGTGCTCCTAAGTACTGAGCTGTCTCTCCAATCTTGACTTTATATACACAGGACTAGGAAATAGGTAAATATACAGGATTCAGAAGAAAGTCCTTAAGTAAAGTTACACCTAATCAAACAGGTAGAGTTGTTAGTAGCTGGGAGATAGTTCAGTCAGCAGGTGCATGGGGACCTGAATTGGATCTCCAAAACCACTGTACAAAAGCCAAGTGTGGTAGCGCACACTTGCAGTCTAAGCCCTGGGAAGGCAGAGACAGGCATATCCCTGGGATTTGCTATCCAGCCAGCCTCACCCATTTCGTGAGTTCCAGGCTAACGAGAGAACGCGCCTCATAAACAGAAGGCAGATGACTATTGCAGACAACACCTCAGGTTGCCCCTTGGCCTAAATACACAGCACACACTTGCGGGGATCATATGTTTGTATAATTTGTGATCAATTATAACTTCCAGTATTTGAATATATGTATAAATAACTTGTGTTTGTTTTGAAGTCCTGAGTATTATGGTTTTGTTTTTCTGTTTCTCTCCTTTGCTCTCTTCCTTGAAGTAACATGCAGTGGTCTTTGGGTCGCAGGAAGAGTTGAGGTACATTTATATTGCCTGGAAAAGAAAGCCTATTCAGATGTGAAGATGACAGGGGAGGCCTTATCTGTGCTTTTGTCTCAAAGACAGCCCTGTCTCTTTGTATCTCCCCAGATCACATGGCCAAGGAGCCAGTGGAGGACACAGACCCCAGCACTTTATCCTTCGCCATGGTAGGTGGCACGTTTTATTTGGACTCTTCTTATATGGCACTGTAGTCAGCAAGCATTTCCAGGAAATCCCAGAAACCCCAAAGCAAGGTTTGCCAAAGATACACTTCTTTCTCTTGGTATCCTCTGTGGTGTCATCATCCTCAGACTAAAAACAGTGTTAGATCCTGAGCTGGGCATGTGGCTCAGTGGATAGAGTGCCTGCCCAGCATACATGAAGCCCTGGGTTTGATCCTCAGTACCACATAAACCGAGTAAGGGGGTGCACACTTGTAATCCTGGTACTCTGTAGGTGGATCAGGACTTTAAAGTCACCTTCAGCTATATAGCAAGCTTGAAGCTAGCCTGGGCTACATCAGACCTTCTCTGAAACAGCAACAAAGTGGCAATAGGTCCTCTTCCTGCTTCATGCATACTAAAGAGACCTTCTTAGATGTTCCTAGGTCTTTGCTGGGTGTCAACTTTTAACTTTTGTCTATTCTTAGTTAGCCTTCTTTTAACATTCGAAATATCTGACATGGAGTCCTGTCCCAGGAATCAAGCCCAGGACAGAGTCCTACAAGAGTGACTATTGCCTGGAACATGTACATGTTGACCCAAACGACTGTCACAGAAATGACGAGGAGAAGCGTGCACTCCCAGAATGCACAGAGACAAAATCTGAGCATAAGGCTGCAGGAAGTCGAGAGGGAAAACAGCCCAGCCCAGAGGGAGGAAGTGTGGTTTAGCGGTCAGAGCCAAGGAAGTTAAGAGGGGGTTATTCTGTTTCAAGTTCCAACATTAACCTGTCGACTCTGATTTCGTTCCTATCAGCTCAGAAGAAAAGCAGTGAGTCAGGCCTGCTGATAAGCCTGAGGCTAAAGACCTGGAAGGTTTAATTTTACTTTATATTGCAACCCTGGGGATGGAACCTGGGGCCTTCTGCATGCTAGGCAAGCACTTTGCCGATGAGCTAGCTACATCCCAGCCTGCTCCTGAGGTTTTAAACTGAAACCCAACACAAAGCTCTCCTCTCACTTTGATCTCAGAACTGACATTTAAAAACAACTCTCTCCTTTTGTCCGTTTCTGCAGTCAGACAAGTATCCCATTCAAGACACCGGCCTCCCTAAAGGTAAGAGCAGTTGGTGTAAGGGCTTCGGCTTGTGACTAATTGGGGCTCTGGAACAAAGCACCACTCGAACCCAGTTCTCCTTACTGAAGATGGTGAAACAGAAAGAGACCAATAACTTGGCTAGAGACCAGCTACACAATTGTCCTCAGAAATGAGTTTCCTTATTAAAAGGTGCCCATCATTTTACACCAGATCATAAACTGTGTTTGACCAGGCATGAAATAAAGCTAGCCGGGTTCTGTGTTCAAGTATCTGAACTGACTCAAATGTGTTTAAGAAGGAGGGGAAGAATTGGGTGTCATAGCTCATGCCTAGAATCCTAGCATCTGGAAGGCCAGGCCAGGAATTTAAGTCCAGACTGAGCTACACAATACGTTCTAGGCCAGCCTGAGCTATAGGATGAAACTCTGCTTCAAGAAAACCAAAAGGAAAAAAATAAAAGAAAGAGAGAGAGAAAGAAGGAAAGAAAAGACTGATTAGCTCAGTCAGGACTCTCAAGGGGCTGTGGATCGACACATTTAGGGGTGATTTTGGCTCAAGCCTTTGACCTGTGGCTCTGTTGTCCTCAGTGCCGCCCTTGTTCCTGCTGAGGAAGGAAAGAGGGTCTCAGCACTGCCAGCTTCCCACCATGCTGTTCTCCCCACAACCGTGATGCAGGTTGCAGGCAGTGTGGGTCACATGGCCAGTCCTGAATCAGTGGCTGTCATCAAGAAGATGGGGAATGAGCGAGCCCTGAGCTCTGGCTGGCAAGGCTTGGAGTAGATTTCATTAAACCCAGCAGTGTTTTGTGGCCAGACAAGCAGCAAGGGATTCTTGTCAGGCTCCAAAGTCACCCCCATAGTTTTCTTTTATATCCCGTAGCCTCAAGTTTAAACAAGGTAAGGATCCAAAGTGGCCAAATCCTAGCCTTCCATGGCCCTGTGCGTGTCTGCAAAGCCAGCATGCGGCTTGTTATGTCACAAGGTTGACCTTGTACCCTGTGGGCAACCCAGAGATGAGGGCACAGGGGCAATCAGATCATCATTCCAGCTATGGAGAGGGCAGGGCCCGTGGCTGTCTGGTTTCTGTGCAGAGGTGTGGAGCCCCTGCCCGGGTGGGTTTCCCGACATGCCCCCCGGTGGTGGGAATGGGGGAGAGAGTCCCACCAGGGCCGTCAGTGGATAAGTCCAGGTCTCAGCCGAGGCATTGCTCTGTCCCCTCCCTGGCCCCAGACTCTCCTGTCCCGTAGAGTGACGTCATTAGACGTCATTAACATGTCAGTCTTCTGCGTGTTCCTGGAGGGACTGTGGGATTGGGGAGGAGGCCAGAGCCTGGCTTGAGTGTAAACCATGCCTGTGCTTGGGAGATTTCCAGCAAGCTGCCTTTCCCTGAACCCTTTCCACAGGTAAACTGTCCCTCGTCTAGAGTTCCTCTTTTCTAGCCTGTTTCGTTACATTTTAAAGTTAGCATACAGAGTGATGCGTGTCATCCTGGCCTTGCCTTACGTATGTGTCATTATACTTTACTCTAATTGTCCCCTCCCTGCAGTCTCGGCCCCTGCTCCCTCTGGCTAATTCACTTCCTTCCCCCAGATGTTCCCTCCCGATTTCAAGTCCCACGTATTCCATTTACCTTTTCTCCCTCGGGGATGGAGGGAAGGCTGGCCCAAACCCCACTGATCATCAGTTTGGGGATGGTCAAAAACTTCTAAGTAGACTGGCCCAGGGGGACACTTTGGATGCATGTCCTAAAGATCTTTTCTTCTTTGCCCTTGAATGTGATTTCCTGTTTTGAAAGGAAAAGATTGCTGCTAAGCGACCTGGTCCTGCACTAGAAACATGGTCAGGTCGCTCCTAGATCCTGCGTTTTACACGTCTTTCCCCCAAGCCCTTCACAAGAAGCATGACTTGGAAACCATGCGGCAGGCCTCCCCGTTGTCCTATGTCACAGGGAATAGGATAAAATACTCCAAATAAATGCACCGTTTTGTAGGCAAATGAATCTTGGTTAGAAGCTTTAAAATTTGAATTCAATGATGAGGTGGTTTAATGTCTGATAGTGTTTTCCTTTATCTTCTTGAAGAGGAGGTATCCGTCATTGGAGGTTTCTGATAATTTTCTCATGGAATTTGTGCTTTAAGAGAGGGGAGTGGAGGTGGCCAGCCTGAGGGGGAATAAGAACAAAGAAGAATGATGCTGTGTCTGAAAATGGGCCACACTGTAACCTGTTACTTTATACGCTGACTGAAGGAGTTACCGAAGGGGCTGGGGAGATGGCTCAGTTCACAAAGTGCCTGCTGCATAAATGCGAGGACCAGAGTTCAGATCCCCAGCACTGCATATAAGACAGGCATGGGGATTGGGTCTGCAAACCTAGTTCTGGGGGTCAGCCAACCTTGCTGAAACAGTGAGAGAGACCCTGTCTCAAAAGCAGTAAGGTGGATAGAAGACACTTCACATTGACCTTGGGCCTCCACAAATATATAAATAAGTACATAGACAAACAAACAAATAAATATTTAGAAACAGTTATTTTAGGAATATAAAATCCCTATAAAATAGTTTAAGAGACTAATTTGTGGACCTAAAAATAAACTAAGCTGCAATTTAATCCTATTAAGTATCAGCTAGAATTCCAGCATTCCTGTGAATTGGGCTGTCTAGTTTATTTAATATAGGAGCCACGGGTAATTAGCTTTAACAGTTTCCCTATGGTTGAGAAAGGACTCCAGGCTCATTTTCTTAAATAGGTTAGGCAAGCTTCCTAGCCCTGCCCTCCTGTTGCTAGAGCCCTACGTTGTTTGTGCGCGGCTTAGAGCTCTTCTTTAGTGCCGGGCAAGCTCGAGGGCTTTTGAACAATGTGGTTTTGCTGTAAGTCATGTGGAAATCTAGAGTAGTTACAGTGGTCAGCATATGGTTTATCACACCTGCTTCTCATCAGGGACAGAAGCATAGCTTCCACCGGGGCCAGTCCCTGTCCCTAGGCTCAGGGGTTTCTGGGGGCATTCTGCAGGGCTTCTTCCCCAGCAGCTCCTCTGTGACCCTGCAGGTATTTGGCGGGCGTGAGATGGGGTATGAATTACTTACTTTTCTAGTTACTGAGACCAAGTCCCTGACCAAAAACAAAACAAAACAAATAAAAAACAAGCAGGCAAGCAAACAAACAAACAAAAGCAGCTTAAGGAAGGACTTATTTTACTTAAAGTTTCAGGGTCCATTCCTTCACAGGGACACGAGGCAGCTGGTCACATGACATCTGCAGTCAGGAAGCAGAGAGAGAGAGAGACATTCTGGCACTTATCCTGCTTCCTTTCTCCTTTCACTTTGGCCCAGGACCCCAGTTCATGGTGGTGCTGCTGACATTCAAGGTTGTTCTTCCCTCCTCAGACCTTCCTAGGCAAATTCTCATGAACACACTTAAAGATGTGTTACCATGGCGATTGTTGATGATGAAGCTGTTATGCTACATTGCAGGGGCTTAGTACATTGCCATCACGAATCTCCTGACTTCTCCCAGAAGCTGCTAGATTGAGCATCCTGAAGAGGATATGTCTCCCTGTTACATTTGCGAATGTGTTTGGGCAAAACAGTTCTGGTATTTGAGTGAGCGTTCACGGCAGGAGGCAACTGTACACAGAGGAGAGCCCTCATGTAAATTAAGAAAACATTTTATCTTTGGCTGTCCTGGTGGTACAGGCCTGTTACTGGGAAGGCTGAGGCAGGAGGATGGGGAGTTCAGAGCCTGCCTGGGTTACAGAATGAGGCTATCCCAAGCAACTAGGTAAGACCCTGACACCAAACAGTCAAAAAAGGAGCCCAGAGACAAGCTCAATGGTAGATCATCTGTTATGTATGTGTGAGGACCTTAGTTCAGCTCCCAGTCCTGATAAAACAAACAAACAAACATACATACATACACACACACACACACACACACACATACATACATACATACATACAAAAACCTAAATTTCCTTTGGAGTGTCTCTCTCCTACTATAAGATTCAAAAAAATCTCATAGTAAATTTAAGCTGCAGGGGCTGGAGAGATGGCTCAGGGTTTATGAATATGTGCCGCTCCTCCAGAGGACCTGAGTTTGGCTCCCAGCACCCATATACACCCTGTAACTCCAGCTCCAGTGGATCCAGTGCCCTCTTCTGGCCTCTAAGGGCACCCACATATAAACATATAAATTAAAATAAAATAAAATATTTTAAAATATTTAAAATGTGAAGAAAAGTGATATAGATTGATCCTGTTCATCTTTGTATGAATCTGAGCATTCATGCATGCTGGGGGAACTGCTTTAATGTTGAGATACAGTCCAAGCCCCAGGAATTTGAACTTTGCTGTTATTTTAAGCAACCAGAATATACATTTCATTTCAGTTTTTTTATTGTGATGCTGGAGATCAAACCCAGACCCTTGTGGATGCTAGGTGAACACACTCTGGTGCTGAGCCACTTTCTCCCAGCCTCTGGAACGTTCATTTTACAACTTCAGCGTCACCTGCACGTAGCCTGCTGGGAGGAAAGTTCAGATTAAACAAACCCTTGATGGCCCTTCCTCCAGGGACTAGTCTTGGATCTCTTGGGGGTCTGGACTCCATCCAGTTGAGTGCTCTTGTCTGTAGCCTGGGTGGGGCCCTCCAACTCCCCGATGGCAAGATTTGCTCTCCAGGTACAGGAAGCAGCAATGCTGAGCACAGGGCCGGAGCACTGGCCGGGGGAACAGTAGCACCCAGTGCTCTGCCTCCTGTCTTTATTGATCAGCACAGGGTCCTCAGCCCTGCCCTGCCTGACAACTTCATTGCCCTTAGAGGTCAAGGGAAAGATAGGCAGTGGTAAGGCAAATAGCAACGAAGGGGCAGGCAGATCACTACCCTGAATTGCATCAACCAAGGTGCCGAACAGGGTTTTCCCTGGGTGGGAAGCCCCTTTCCTTCTGCCAGCCCAGAAGAGCCACACCGTGCCTGGGCTGCTGCTGTGCATGCACAGATCATGTTTAGAACAGACCCAAGCACAGGAGGCTCACGAGGTCACTATGAATCCCCTTAGTCAGGGGAACCCAAGCAACAGTGAGCCAAGGTACTGTGCTCTCACTGCCGGGACAAGTGTGTGTCCAGAGACTAACCTGCCACCATCCTCTCTAGCCACTTAACAGTAGTTTCATCCTGGGACAAAAGAAGGACTCACGCTAGGCAGTGGTGGCTCATGCTTTTAATCCCAGCACTTGGGAGGCAGAGGCAGGCAGATCTCTGTGAGTTCAAGGTCAACCTGATCTACAGAGAGAGAGAGAGTCTCAGACAGGCCCCAAAGCTACACATAGAAACCCTGTCTCGAAAAACCGAGAGAGAGAGAGAGAGAGAGAGAGAGAGAGAGAGAGAGAGCGCCTCATTGAGCCACATAGGCTAAGTTCAAGTCCACCCCAGGCAGCCATCACCAGTGAAGTTAGTTAGCCAGGAACAGATAATTCATTCTTATCAAATGGCCTTGACCATGGCCTGGCCACTGCATTGATCAGGAAGTAGTTCTGATGGCCATCTCTATATCCTGTTGATGAAGACAGGATACTATTCTAAGGGTGATGGGGCTGGCCACACACATGGTGTTTGGTCCTGAACAGATGAAATAGGGGTGCAGCTATAGAGTCACCTATACTTGGGAAACAAGAACACCTCATAGTGTACAGAGCCACACCAGGTTGCATTTAGGAACACGGAGCAGTTGAAAGAGTACAGACTGTGAGAGGCAGCTTCTGTGGGAGCTACAGGATGATGTGTCTCTGGATCCCCTGGTAAGGCTATAGCCTTGTTTGAATAATTCTATTTGTTGGCAGGGAAAGGAACCCTGGTTCTCCAAAATCAACAAAACCATGCTTAATCCCCCTCCCCCCTCCCCCTCCCCCATCCCCCTCCCCCATCCCCCCGAGAAGAACATTGCCGGAGAGGAGAGCTGGGACCTAAACTTGTCCTCATTCAAATCTATCCCAGTTTTACCAGATGTCAAGGCAGCTCTAAATTCTGAGTTTTAATTTTAGGTCTTAGACTGAAGTGTGTAATTTCTTTACCAAGCTGTATTAATTTTTTTTTGCCCCCCAGCCAAGGAGTGTGATTCAGTCGTTTCCAACTGTCCACCAAATTCTGATGATCAACATCAGGTAAGAATAATATTAGCTATTTGTTCTACTTCAAACACCCAGAAATTTCGTTAGAATGATCTGAACGAGCTTTAAAAATAAAAATGAGGACATGTATAGCAGTGCATGCCTATAATCCCTCCATCTAGAGGGCGGAGACACAAGGATCATGACTTCAAGACCAGACTGCGCTGTGTGAGACCCTTCTCAAAAGACAAGAATTGGTTTGGGAGATGCTTGTGCAAGCATGAGGCTCTGAGTTCAGATTCCCAGCACCCATGTAAATGCAGGCGCATGTGGTGGCCTGCCTGTAATTCCAGCAATCGGGAGGCAGGAACAGGGGTCCCAGGAGCGGCTAGATGGACTAGTGGAAGCTCTGAGTGCCAGTGACGGTGGGGAGACACTAAGTGTTGGGCTGTGACCCGCACACACGCTCAATAATGCTCCACAAGGGTTCTGTGGGAGTCCCCTCTGTATGCTGTGATTACCACTAATAAATAAAGCAACTGCCTTAGCCTGTTGATAGGGCAGAACTTAGCTAGGCGGGAAAAACTAAACTGAATGCTGGGAAGAAGGGCAGAGTTGGGGAGAAGCCCGGTAACCCACCAGAGACAGATGCTGGGAACTTTACCTGATAAGCCACAGCCGCATGGCTATTCACAGATTAACAGAGATAGGTTAAATTAATAGGTAAGAGCTATCCAATAAGAAGCTAGAGCTGATGGGCCAAACAGTGATTTAATTAATACAGTTTCTGTGTGGTTATTTCGGGTCTGAGCTGCCTAATGGGCCAGAACGACCAAGCGGCCTTAGAACAACACAAGGGTAAGTGTCTAAAGGTGAGCGGTGGAGTGGCATGTACTTCTCTGCCATTGCTCTGTTTTCCTTGTCTTGTTCATACAAGCTAAACTTTAAAATACTTAACGTTTTATCATCACAAAACAGGAGCTGAGGAGATAACTTGGTCAGTAAAGTGCTTGTTATGCAAGTTTGAGGACCTGAGTTCAGATCCCAGCACCCATGGAAAGAGCCAAGCACAGAAATGTGTGCCCACAGTCCCAGTTCTGGGAGGCAGAAGCATGCAGATGGGATAGCTCCAGGTTCTGTGAGAGACCCTGTCTCCGAAACTAAGGTGGGGAGGGCCTGGTCCTATCAGGTCCACGTCTGCTCACTTTCTCAGTGCTCACTAGCAACATTGCTTACAGTTCAATCTCTATTAAAGGAGACTGTACGTTGGTTTCCCGGCTGCCCAGACCCAAATAACCACATAGAAACTATATTAATTACAACACTGTTTGGCTGATGGCTCAGGCATATTTCTAGCTAGCTCTTACATCTTAAATTAACCCACTTCTATTAATCTATGTATCACCATGATAGTAAGATTCTGGCGTCTTTCTTCTTTGGCAGTTACATGGCATCTCTCTGACTCTGCCTTCTTTCCCCCCGTATTCAGTTTAGTTTTCCCACCTAGCTCTATTCTGCCCTGCCATAGGCCAAAGCAGCTTCTTTATTAATTAATGGTAATAAAACATACACACAGCATACAGAGGGCAATCCCACATCAAATCTCCTAAGCTACAGTTAGAGCATTAAGTGTCTCAGAAAGCATACTTTTAAGGCAGGCTCATTCATGCCTGTGCGTTCGCACACCAAGCTGATTCCTAGCAAGTTCTGCTTAGGAATCCTTTGAAAACAAGACTACATTTTGAGGCAGAATTGGAAAAGAACCTGTCGGATGAAGAACTAAAGGTTCAGCTAAGGTAGACTAAAGATGTGTGTTAGAGTTTGGGTTGCTGATGACCGTTAGACAGGAAAGGAAGTGTTAGAGGAATTGAAGACTTTGAGGTCTCCTACACTTTGAGAACGGAGGACCTGATTGGTGGATTAGCTAACTCTGGCATTTTTTTTTTCCATTCTTAGAAATAACTCACGATCAATTCTTTTTCTACAATTGAATAATTTGTTTACAAAGTAGTCTTAGGTCCCCAGGAAAATCGAGTTGGAGATGCTGAGGTTTCCCACCTAACACCTTCCCCACGAACTCAGCCTCCCACGTTGCCAGCATCCTCGACCACAGTGGCACAGATGTTACTGCTGGTGTGCCCACATTGGTACATCATCAACCACAGGCCATGTGTTCACTGAGTCTTTTTCTGGGTGGCGCACATTCTGTGGCTTTGACCAAATAGTCAATGCCATGCACCCGCCATGACAGAATCACACAGGGTAGCTTCACTGCGCTAAAAAGGCTTCATGCTCAGCTGCTCCCACCCCCAGTCCCTGGAAATCTCTTATCTTTTCATCATTTCTATAGTTTTGTCGTTTCCAGACTATCACAGAGTTGGGATCATACCATAGGACTTCTTTAGTTAGATGCATTTAAGCTTCTATGTCTCTTAATGGTTGGCATTTCATTGCTTTTTTATTTTTGGTGCTGTGTAATATTTTACTATCTGGATATACCACCGATAATCTATTTACCTACTGAAGGATACCATGATTAGAAGAAATAAATCATTTTGATCCATTTTCAATATGGGGTATGTTTAGAGCTCATGAAAGAACCAAAGATAAGTAGGAGGCATGAGGCCCTTCTTTTCTCTAGTTGGCCACTAATGCCACCTTGTCTAGATGGTGGCAGTTTATCCTGGCTTGAAAAGTTACCGGGAGCCTGCTATATGGCTGAGCCATAATCAAAGACGGGAGGATTTTACACCTGTGGGTATATGTGAGATGAAGCTTTGCGTGCTGAACTACCAGAGTGGAAAATTCAGTAGGGAATTTGCTAAGTGAGCATGGAGACTGTAGCTCTCTGGCGTCCCAGACTCTGGGACAAAGGAGGCAGGAAGGTTTGGACATCCGGGACTTTAAAACCCACCTGTGTCCTCAGTCAGTGGTGCTAGACGTTTTTGCCTTTTCTCCAGGCTGATGTCAGTTTCTACAGAATTGGGTCTTGTGTGTTACGATGGCTGCCTCAACTTTCCGGCACTTAGGAAAAAACAGCTCTAAGCACCCGTATGCAGGTTTGGGCATGCGTAAGTGTCCAGGAACATGCCTGCCGGCTCGCGGGGTGAGGAGGTTCAGTTTTGTAAGAAGCTGACAGCGCAGTGTGACTTCCAGAGTGGCGGCTTCACTCCGAGTTCTCACCAAAAGCCGATAAAGTCCGGCTGCACCACACTCCCTCCAGCAGTTAGTGCTCTCTCTGTTTGGATTTTTTTTTTTTTTTGGCTATCCTAATAGGTGTATAGTGGTTGTTTTAATTTGCATCTCTGTGTTAGCAGGTGATGTGTATGGAGTGTTTTCTAATATGCTAATTTGAATGTTTTATTTATAAGGCATGTTTAAGGGATTTTGTTTGTTTTTAAGATATATTGATGTATTTATTTTTATCTTATGTGTGTATTGCCTACATGTATGTAAAGGTCCCCACAAAGGCCAGAAGATAGCGTAGGAGTCCCTGGACTGGAGTTACAGTTCTGAGCTGTACCATGTGGTTCTCTGCAAGAGCAGCCAGTGCTTTTAATCATTGAGCCATTTCTCTAGCCCGTTTTTGCCCATTTTTAAATTAGTTCTTTGTGTCCTTTTTGTTGAGTTTTTAGAGTCCTCAGCATATTTTAGATAGTTCCTAATTCAAAGTATCTTTTGCAAACAATTCTCTCCTGGCATGTGGGTCATCTCCCCTTTTTTGTTTTTGTTTTGACAAGGCCTATAACAGGACAGACATTATGTTTAGCGAAGTCCCTAGGTACCACTGTGTAGGAAAATGTTCTTACAGTGTGACAGTGGCCATGGCCAGGGAGACCACTATGCCAACCTCCATGTTGAGGTAGACTTTATGATCTTATCTAAAAGCGCCTAGAACATACAGCTTTCCTGGAGGGCATTTACATATCTAAGTGTTTGGCAGGCCATTTGGATTAGAATTTTGTTTATTTTTTAGTTAATATACAAAATGATAAGATTAGGAAGGCATTTTAAAACATGATTTGTTTTTGCTGATCCTCCTTCCTTCTCCCCCATCCCTTTTTACCCCTTTATACCTCCCCACCCCAGTCTTCCCCTTCTACTTTGACCACACGCATCCTGTCACCCTCCTTTCCTCCTCAAGGAAGGGGACAGTGGCACCTCTTTGCTCTTTACACCTGTTTTCTGTAGACATGACCAAAAGAGTTAGCAATGCCCTATAGTTGACCTGAGCTCTTTAGAGATGGCCGTCCTGATTGTCTTGGCCGTTCCCATGCTGCCCCCAGAGGTCTGACATTTCTCAGTTGGTAGCAGCTGGTGTACCGTGTGCATAAACCTAGACGTATTGGGGGGCCCTGGGCTGAAAGTATGGCCTGTGTGGATGCTACCAGAACTCACCCGGTAAATGTGGGGTTTGTGAGTTTCCTTCCTGGTTGTGTTTCAGAGCCCCTCAGAAGCATCTTAAGAGAGGAAGAATTAGTTTGGGCTCACAGTTTCAGAGATACAGTCCATCTTGGTGGGGAAGACGTGGTGGACTTCCTTGTGGTGGGAGCACATGGTGGCAATTCCTCACAGTGTGGTAGACCAGAAAGCAAAGACCCAGCAACAGAGGTAGACCGACAAAGGCCTGCCCTTAGTAACCTCAGTCCTTCAAGCTAGGCCTCACACCCCAGAGATTTCACGACCTCCCCAAACAGTGCCAGTATCTGGGGACCAAGTGTTCAAACACTTGAGCCTGGAGGTGACATTTCAGACTGGAACCCTCACTCAGGGCTCGCTCTTTTCTTTGCATTGGATTGTGAGGCATTGGGTAGAATGTTAGCCAGCAGCCTCGTTGTCTTGGCAGAGCAATGGGCTCACCAGAAGATGCGCAGATCCAAAGTCATTAAGTGCATGGTAATAACAGGGCATGTCAGGGACCGGCAGGTCTGCAGATGCTGCCTGCCATTAGTCAGCCTGGCAGGCCCCTGCCTGCAATTCTGGACACGCAACAATCCTTACAAGCTCCAACAAGATCCGTTTCATAGATTGGCAGGGCCTTGAGCTTTCTTCTC